GGCGCCAGCGCAGAAACGCTTCACCGTCTCCACCGTCTCCACCACCTCCACCGCCTCCTGGGCGCCGTGGACCGCGTGGACGGTGTGCAGCAGCAGCTGCGGTACCGGATCCGAGGAGCGGCGGCGATGGCGATTGGCCGCCGACGAGGCCGAGTGCCGGCCCGACGCTCCCGACAGCCGGCAACGACGACTCTGCAACCGGACCGACTGCCCCCGGCAACCAGCCGCCGGAGGCTGAGGCGGCACGAGATGTCGCATGCTCACAGACCAGCCCCGCTCCTAAAAAGAACCGGCTTTCGAGACTGCCAGACAAACGGCCCTCTCTCTCTTTCTCTCCAATAACCCAGGTTGCCATGCGCCTGGTCGGCTTGACGACAAGCATAACGTCAACATCTGTCTCCCTTAGCATAAATGTTGTCGCAAAGCACAGTCTAATGACCAGCATCATCACACACCTTTCATAGCTCTCGAATTCGCTCGAACTACCCCACCCAACCTAGCATCATCACCATCATCATCACTAACACCACCAATAGAAACAATATCCACCTCACCGACAACAACAACAACAAGAACAACAACAACAACAATCATCATCATCATCATCATCACCGCCATCATCCTTATTATCATTATTATTATTATTATTATTATTAATTTTATTATTCTCTTCAATGTCGGAGCTGCTCACCTCTGCCCACAACGTATGCACCCGCCAACTTGTCCTTCGTCTGTCACCTGGTCCCTTCCAAAATCAGTCCTTTTAGAGGCATGCTGTGTCGTCAAGACAGTCACTTCCGGCGGCCGGGCAGAGAGTAAATGACGTGGATCTTCTCAACTCATCGTGTCGGTTGTGAGAAGCTTCGTTGTGCGTATTCAAGCGGTGCCAGAGGCAAATGGGTGCAGAGCCATGGACCCAAGACTCTGTTCGACGCATGTAAAGTACACGAATACATGAAATCGAAAAGCACTTCTGACCTTTGGTCATCCTCTTGCGATGAATGAACACATAAACACTTCAAAACACGGCTTGTCATTATCCCTCCTCTCCTCTTCTTAACCTTGACTCTTTCTTTTATTTTGAAAATTTAAAAATGGCCTTTCCCCATCGCTTATCTCCATTCTAATGATAGCCTATCTGTTTCCGTGGCAGCAGAGGATAGCGACAGCACAGGTAACCTCCGGTTGCTGAGCGACTCATAAGGGTGTAGAGACCTTCCGAGAAACCGAATAGAGATTGGCCGGAACGGAGAGATGTGCCGTCGTCTGCTCGGCAACGGGGATTCCTAATAACTTGTCCGGTTGTACGTGTTTCATATTGCTACAATTCACAAGACTGCATTGAGACGTTACCGCCTTAATCATCCAACAATGATGTTTGTTCAGAAATAACCAAGACATTAGCCACATTGGGCTGAACGAAAAGAAAAATAATTCTCTTTTAAGCCATTTCATCTCATCGGAAATCCTGTTACCCACAAGTTTGCCTCGATGGTCATTTTCTCTTTGCACGAAAGCTTTTCTACCAACTCGAACCTTATCAGCTCTGTGACCTCCAGCACCCTTCCGGTTACAAATATGGCATAGTCTAACTTGGAATGGTAGGATTTAATGATATTTATCGGTTAACTCGACACTTGTTTGCATTTATTCGAAAGTAGATCAAACGCCACTTACAAATTTCTTTTTTGTTGGTACTTTGCGGAGTATTTTGGCCTGAAAGTTTAATCAGTCGGCTATTGCTCGAGGGTCAATCCGTAGATCAAAGTGGATGATCCAGCCAATGAAGATAAATGAAGAATGGTAATCCTCCCTGACTAACCGACATTGGTTTCTCGTCTGCCAAGGAGACAGGCTGGATTACTCGATTATGGGAAGACGAGAGCAGTTCGCATTTTGTAAGGAATTGGTTGTAAAGCGTGGAAACCTTAATTATTAGTCTTTGGCCTTGGTGTGAGTAGTTTGCAAAACTATCAGACATTTTTTAATAATATTTAATAAGTCCGGATCCCTGACAGGTGCGTTGACCTACTCACCTCATTTCATTCGAAGACATTACTGATTGTCGATATAAGTAGTTTGTTGGACTATCAGTAATTTCTGAATAGAAGCTAATTAGCCCATTTGCCTTAAAATGACTTTGAGGTTATGTAAGGTCTGCGAGGTGAGTTGTTCCACTCATTAAGCCCCATTGCTATTGTGGGGGAGTGGTGAAACAACATAACATTTGGCTGAGGATGCTGATGACATTTAGGCGTGATGTAAACTGCAGTTGATGCTGGAAAGAGGTGAAGTGCAATTCAATAGAATTGTTAGGCCTGCTTGTCTAATTGCGATAGGAAAAACGTAACTATCAGCTCCTAAATGACTTCTGACAGTCTACTCTCATCAGCCCATCCACGAGCTCAAATGAGCTCGGTTGACTTGAGTTCTTATTGCGTCGTCAAGTCGTGCCAGCATCACATAAATGATAGGCTTCGGCCACATTGGCGGCCGAATGTGTGTGCTGCATGCATCTGAGACTCGAGTACTCGACTGACGGTCTCCAGTGCAGCATCGTCCAGACGACAGTCCATCGCCTCCCTCACCTGCCAGCCCATTCATGTCTCTAAGCCCGCACACACATACACAGAGAGACACATAAACATTGGGAAAAACGCGGACATGGACAGGGAAACGAGAGCCCGACCGAAGCAGGGCACCAGGGGCGTCGCAGGCGGCCGGAGAGGCCGGCGGAAGGAGGAATTTAGGAAAAATGTCGAAGAATATGATGCCTTAAGGATAACTTTCAGAATTGTTTTTAGTCCAGGAATTATGGCTACAGACCGGAACAGACTGCCGAGCTGGTGAATAGAAAGACACCAGACGATGTATGGTTGTATGATTGTATGGTTGTATGGGTGAGGAGATGGACAGAGCGAAGGATTGGCTGGCCGGTGTCAGGACTAGACTCAAGAATGGGGTGGGAGGAGTGGGTAGTTGGGGCGAAGAGTGAAGAAGAAATGAGGCCCATGGAGATGAAGAGAAACATACAGCAAGCCAGATTCGAGTGGAAATTCCAAACGAGAGAGCAATTTGGTGCTAATGAATACACAGAACTGGGTGAGTGTAGTCAGTGAGAGTGTGTTGGGAAAGCCACAATCATGAGATGTATTCACCCTCTTTCGTGAATGTGTTAAAGTATTGGTAGTTGCATTTTCCCACAATGGTGTGAGCAAAAGTCAAGTTTTCATTGAATTTCGCATAGTCTTGCTCTACCAAAAGATATTCACATACAGTCTCGTTAACACCCCCGGCGGGACTCGAACCTGGGTATTCATGGTGCGGCGTATACTCTCGACATTCCACGAGTGGTGTTGGGTCACAGGGCAGATGTGAATTTCCAGCAGTCAGGCATTTTCCCATTTCACATTTGGGTCTGGGGAATAGGGCGAATACATCATATACAAATGCTATCATCTTATCCGCAACCCAGTGGGATTCTCTATCCAGATTGTGAGTAACTTAGCAACGTGACAACTACTCTGAAGGCTGACTCGAGTTTATGTTCAAGAAATAAAGATATTCTCAAAGACTACTCGCATCAAAAATA